ACATCTGGTGAAAATTTCATGTCATTAGCACCTCTAGTAATATATTTACTGAGTAAAATGTTGACATGTTCAATACTAATTTTACCTGCTGTAACTCAAGTAAATCAAGTTTTCCACATCTCATTGCAACTCTCCCTCGTTGGGTTTACAGACAACTTCCTCGAGGACTTCTGTTGTGGAAGGAAATCCAAACGTTTCCAAGAACCCGTTCCGTCTCACTCAGCAGCCAGTGAGAGTTGGGACCAGTCGGAACAAAGCTCTGGGGAGTCACCGTACAGGACAGACTCCCAGTCTGGGTACGGAGACCCAGGAGGGGGTGGGAATGTAGGGCCAGGTCCAACAGAGAGACTCCACCCATCGCATTTAGAAAACAAAAAGGTTTTGGAACTGAAGAGACCCCAGCAGTGCTTCGGGTCCAGCGGCAACAGCCCCGCCGCTGCCAAAAGCTACTCGCAAGGTAAACCTGCACATTTCGCAGCGGCTTCAGGAGGACAGACTCACTACTCGCAGCATCTGTCCTCCCCGCCGACGCAGCCTCCGTACTCGCCCCACGTCACCTCTCCGGCCCACCCGGACACAGATTCGGCTTTAGAGGCGGCCGTCAACAGCATCCTGGAATGTTAACACTGATGCTACATTTCTTCCCCGTTTTTATTTTTGTAGGTACCTTTTTTTTTTTTTTACTTTTTTGTAAAATGTGCGTGAAGAGAGGTTCACTCTTTTATTATTATTTTTTTCCCAGGTCCATGTGATATGCAGCTATGTAGCATTTCTGTCCAAGTTTTTTGAGGCATTTCGTCGGAGTTAGATACGTTGAGGTGTACCTGGGCACTTAACCTATAAAGATCCGGGAATGTGTGCAATGCAGCGGATAAAATAGATGAAATTAAAAAAAAAAAAAAACGTTTTTATTGTCAAGCTGTAGGTAAATGATGCAGCTCTGAATGCAGGAGTGTTTCTCTCTTCACAGGCGTTTAACAGTTTGTGCCATTTAATTTCTGATGAAGAGGAGGAAGAGCGTGGCGACTCTGTGCCTGATTTTAAGTTTTTCTATGGAAGTGTTTACATGAAGAAGCTCTACTTTCTTATTTTTTTATCATTTTGATAGAGTATTAGAGCCACCCGGAAGAAAAATTTTGAACAGAAAAAAGCTGAACTAAAAAAAAAAAACTTTTAAACATCTGAAGCTTACATTGTTCCTCAGTCTGGACCAGCAGGAATTTTGAGTATTTCGAAGTCAACACTGAGTGTTTGAGGCTTTTATTGTGAAAGATTTCAACTAGTTCCACTGCAGCAGGAGTGATATGGTGCAGCTCAGACTGCTTTAATTTAAGTTATTTTGTTAGTTCATTAAACAAGTTTTTTTTTTCAATAACATTTCAAATTTAACCTTAAAACAAAAATAACCTCGCTTTAATTCCTTCTTACTGGCTCTAATACTCTGTCAGACAATACAAACCTGAGAAGTGCACATGTGTGATTAGTGTTTTTTTTTTAATATAATCTTACTTTCACATGGACAAATTGCACTAAAACAGTCATTTCACCTTTTTATYTGAAGGAGACGTCCTCGTATGCGAGGCGAAATAGAAATGTGAACATTTGGAGCAGAACCAAAACCTTTTTTTTAGCTGCCTGGAATAAAAATATAGACCTCGTAATCACACTATGAGAAACTCATCAAACTCGTCACGCAGCGTTACTGTACTCGACTGTGTTCTTTATTTTATTTTTCCTGTCAGTTTTCTGTTGTACCTTAAAGGTATGTGAGTCCCGACACAAACGCAGAGCAGATTTTTGCCACTTCTCATCTTTTCACGGTGAGTTTGTGTCCGCGGAGCTTAAGTCCTCAGATTGGGGAAGATATGTTAAGTTGATCTTTTTTATTGAGATTTTCAGTTCCTCATTTTTAGAAATGACTTTTTTTAAATTTTTTTTTTTTTTGTGTGTGGCGATGTGTTCAACTAAACTGAGCATCGTCTGGAAACAATCATGTATTGATATGTTTATGATTTAATATCGTCACACGTCTGTCAGTGTGTTCTCGGCTCGTCTCGTGCAGTTTGCCATGTTTTCCAGCTCACAAAACGTTTCTGATGTTTCAKTGTCAGCAACACAACCAAAATATAAACATTAAAAACAGAACGGTCTTGTCCAGAATCCCCTCCGTTTCTACTTTATTTTTCTGTCTGAAAATGGCTATTTTTTTTCTTTAAAGACAAAATTACTTTTTCTATTGCAGTTGTATTTTTCAATACAAATCCTTTAAAACCTGCATTACAATTTAAAGCTGCTCAGTGCAATGTTGAAAAAAGTATAAAAGAAAAAAAAATGTCCTCATTGATGGTTTATGTTATTGAATTACAATTTTTTAAGCGACATTTGTCAGCTTCCACGAGTTTATTTACGCACAGAAACTGCAGAAGTTACTGAAAATAGGTCAACAAAGGCCACATCTACAGAAGATGGAAATGTTTAATGTATTGGTACATTTTTACATCTGCAGATAAAATACATGTGCAGATAAGTGGCCGCTGTTCACTCATTTGTCCACCTAAATATCTGATGTTCTTCGCCTGTCTGATTCCACCATGTCTGTACTACAGCCAGCCTCACGTAGGTCACGTGACTCAAGCTTCTGAGTGCTCTGTTTATATTGAGCGCGTACCCGCATTTCAGAATTACGTATCTGTAAAACTATACTAGTTGAACCTGCCTCATTGGATGTCTTTCAGGGTTATTATTTTTATGAAAAATTATAGTTAAAGAGTAGCTTAAGAAACTCTTAAAGTGAGGATTGATTCTGGACAGCACCGCTTTTCTGTCAAACATGCAGGAGCAAACGAAATAAAGCCTTTTAAATGGAGGGACTTTGAGTTCGTAAACATCTAGCAGCTTAAACGCTCGGACYGAAATGGGCTTTGTGACGGTGAGATTTAGCGTTCGCACCTGCAAATAACTGCTGCGAAATTTTTAGTGCCTCTCTAGCGCTTACACGAAGAGAAATGTTGGATGTGTGCTGGTAAAACCCATCTGAATGCATGTCAWGGTCTTCAGACCTGCGGGGCTGTGGGGGGGGGGGGCACGCACTCTGCCCCCTCCACATCTTCTGCAGAGATTTGTTTCCTTCACTGTCCCGTTTGTTTTCACTTGATTTGTATAGTTTTTGTATGAAAAAAGTTGAACATAAAATATTTATAATTTTGTATGGAGAGAACAAATAGACACCAAAAGAAATGTGGGAATTATTTTTTATTGTGTTGGCTGAGGAAGAGTAGTTACAAAAAATGTTATTTCATTCTTTGTAGCTTAGTGTGTTTTCTACAGCGGCAAAAAAAAAGTCAACAATAAATTTTTTTTTTTTTTTTTGAAAACAACAGAACGGGTCCAGAACCTTTCTTTGGTGTCCCTSTATTACCATTCTGTGAGTGTCCACACACTGATGGACACAGCATGCATAATCACATCATGTGGGAGAGGAAGTAGGAACTCGAATACGAGATGTTTGTGTTCGCCGGCATCAGGACGTTTAGGTTTTATGTTCCCTTTTCAACGTAGAGGCCAAAGTTTAAGTTAAAACCTGATGGTTGCATTTAATCCTCTGATGGACTCCAGAATCAGTGCATCTGCACAAAAATACCGATTTGAATCCTGGTGCCTTTTTTTTAAATAACCCAACAGTGACACCTAGTGGTCATCTAAAGAAATGCWGAAACTTGCATCTTAAATYTTTAAATTCCATAAAAGCCAKCTTTTAGGTCTTTTTCTAACTTAAAAGATTACAAAATCTTATAAATATAGATAGATAAATAATTTACAGTACAGAAGGGAACAGTATGGACAAGTGGTTTAGAAAACTTCACCTTTTCTGACCCACCTGTTTCTAGTTAACATGTTCATTACTAATAAGTTAATTCACCAAGAATTTAATACCAGCACAAAGGACCTCAACAATTACCAGACTACTGTTATTTTTAATATTTTAAGATACTTAAAGGACTAATGCACAATTAGCAATCAATTTGGTTTATTTAATTAAGGCAAACAAAAAAAGTTGGTAATCATAAGATAGCTTCAGCGAGTCACTTTCTCATAAACCTAACTAGTCACTGGATCTTGCTTTTTTATTTAAAAAAATACTATTAACATACGTTTCTGCTTAGTTAAAGATAAATACAAATATGTCTCATATTTAAAAAATCCTGTGCACTTTTATAATTGAATCAAACATAATTCAGATACTTCCTCTTCAGGCAGCTGCTTCCTTCGTCTCTAATGATACTTCCTCCAACGACTCAACTCTGAGGGGGAAAAAGAACATGCAGATTTTATCTCTAATCTATTTGCTGCAGAAACAGACGGAGAGTGATGCTCACACTCACTTATATGAGGGTAGCTCCACATGTAGCTGAGCACACAGTATCCTACCAGCAGCATGCTCACTCCAGCCACACCGCCTTTCTTCACGTCAGTGTACCGCCTGTAATACCACCGCCAGCCTGGAGGAGGCACACAGAGGACGAGGAGGGGATCCAAGCGTTACTAAAGGATTAAAACAAATTCTGCTCTGTCAAGCTCAAAGACACAAACAGGAGGACCTGCCCCAGTTATGTACTAATAAATGTAGGAAAATATTCCAAAATATTAAGTCTAAATATGCTGATGGGTTTTTGTAATGTTTGTGCTAAGAGTGGTGAAATAAACATAAGGTTTTATTTATATTAGTTTGTGAGAAAAAAAGCTGTGTCCCAGTTCAGGGGCTGCAGCCCACATAGGGCAGACCAGGGGCTCTCAAACATTTTGGGTCTGGGGACCCCTTACAAGGGTGAAAACTACCCAGGGACCCCCTTATAAACCTCATGCTGTTTTAAAAATAGTTTACGGTCATGTTACTTTCTAAAATGCCATACGAATATTAGCTTTTGTTTGGTTTAATATGTTTGTTTAACTAGTGCATTGTTCCCCATATGCATTAAAAAAAATAAATAAAAAAATCAAATGAACAATTTATTGAAAGTTTTTGAGGACCCCCAGGGGGAATCCCTGGTTCCCCTCAGTTTGAGAAACTCTGGAGTAGACCACCCGTGTGGGCTAGGGCTGTGTATTGGCAAGAATTTGGCGATACGATACATATCATAACAAAGGGGTCATGATACGATATATCCTGATATATTGCGATTTTTTTTCCAAAAATTCTATTAAATAAAAACCTCTTACTGAAAAAAAAAAGAAAAGCTAATGTTTACTTACAATGCTAATGCTACCCTTACTCTCTGGCGCTGGAGGTAGAGGAGCCAAATGGCTGGCTCACTGCTGCCAACTAGTGGTCAGAAGCTGAACTACAACATAAAAATGAACAGCTGGCAGGAAAGCTGACATTTTAAAGCTTAATTAAAAATCGATACAGGGCTTTAGAATATCGATACAGTATCGGGAAATGAAATATCGCGATATTTCAGTGTATCAATATTTTCTTACACCCCTAGTGTGGGCTGCATGAAACGGCTGTGAAATGAGACGTTCTAGTCCTTGATGATGTATTATAAAAGAAAAAAATACTTTCGCATTAATAAATAAAAAAGTATTAATAACTTGAATTTAGCTCCACCATCATAACTGCTACAAATTCCAGAAGCTAAGTTGCTAAACATAAATTTAAAWAAACAAATTCTTCTGTCTGTGATAAATTTCCYAACTCCGCAAAAAAAAAATCTGTCTTCGATTTTGTTTAATTTGCTGATGGCAATGAATCCTGGGATATCGTTGGCCMTYTAGGAAACTCAGACGCAGCCTACATTTTTGGGGTTTTGTCGGCTACAAACTGGAACAAGCCTACGTCGCTGCGCAGTGATGTAAGCAGACAAATGGCCCCTACATGGACTGCAGCCCCTAAAACAGCAGATGTGATGGACGCAGATCTAAAAAYAAAATAATTAAAACTACAACAAACTGCTCCAAGCTGTAACTGAGTGGTGTGTGTGTGATACCGACCGCTTTGCACCATGTCTACAACATCTCTAGGATGCCTCGGGGTTCTGGCGSCCAGCCATGTGGGTAGATCCTTCAGTCTCACCTGTACCAGACTCTGCTGCGTCAGAGGCACTGCAGGTCCAAAACAGCCAGAGAGAAAAGACACAAAAAACACGCTCAAACCACTTACCAAGTTTAAAAGAACCACAACCAAATAAAATGTTTATTTCTTCACTTCCTAGATGACAAAAAGCTTGAATCCAGAACCGTTTTAACAACAACTGCAAAGTGAGACTCTGACCTTCGGCTGGTTTTCCCGCAGCGCTTCGTTTCCCGACCTCTTCAGGCAAAGTTTGTGCAGCGGCAGAAGACAGAAGGAAGCTGGAGGACGGATCGACGGGTGACAATACAGAGGGGAGTCGTGCCAGCTGAGTCGGGCCGAGTTTACCTGGAGGGGGRGTGGCCTGCTGCACCTGAGACGCAGACGCAGTGAGGACGAAGGCAGCGGGAGGACCCGGCTCTCGCTGACAAGCGGCGTCTTGTTGCAGAGGGATCAAAGCTGCTTGTTTGGACTTCCTGTGGAACAARTGAAGCTCTGTGTGCTGCCGCTCATCGCTCAAGAGCAGCTCGTCAGACCGCGGTGCGACGAGGCTGACGCCGTCTTTTCGGCTCTCCGTCGGAGCCGATTTAAAATCAGACTCGAGCTGAAGTTCACTGCTCTGATTGTCAGCAGCAGCAGCAATACGACTCAGGATGCTCGGCCTGCCCGAGTATCGGTGGCTATTAGCTCTGCCTAATGTGGCTTTAACATCCTGCAGGGTAACCTTCATTTGGTGACCACTTCCTGGTTTCTGAGAAAAACTTTCCTCCGTCTCCACCGGACTTTCCACACAGAAGCTGTGTCCTGAATGGGGCTTTGTGGTATTGTCTTTCCCATTGGAGTCCAGATACACATTCTTGATTGTTGCTCTTTGATCTTTCACAGAGTCTTTGTCTGGATAAACTTTGGTCCCTTTCTGATCACTGCTACAGCCGTTAATGCCTGATCCTTTTGCAACGTGCTCTAACTTTGCAGCTTCATTCAAAGCACGGAGACTTTTCTTTTTTGGCTTTGAAACGGTGGYGGACGGTGGTGGAGACAGAGATGAGAAAACGGCGGTGGTCTCGGTCTGATCGGCCACCTTCTGCTTTTTCTTCTTCTTTGCTGATGATGGAGGTGAAGCASTACTTAAAGAAGGTGACGATAGCGACGCAGCCATCTTTTTAACCTTCTCTGCMTCTTGGAGGTCTGAGGTCAGGGAGGACGTCTGTTTGACCTTCTGTCCTCTTGTGGTTTTGGACAGCGCTGCAGCCGAGCGGGAAGTCTGAGACTTCGGTCCATCTTGTGTGGTTCCAGGTGTTTTAGAGCTTGCTGCTGCCTTACAATGTGGCAGGTGGCTCTTAAGCCTTTTGTATGTCTTCCCACAGTGTGGACACACCTCTGTGGAGATTAAAAATACATATACAAGTTATACAAGTGATGCTCTTCCAACAGACAACACTAACATTTATGCTACTCTTCGTACTTAGAAGGTATTTAAAATAAAATAAAACTACCAACAGCTTATGATGAAATATCTCCAATAGAATGGATTAATTGCTCAATTACTGAACTTTCTTGATGGCCATGTTTTGTAGTTTTTGTACCATTATAACCTCAAAACGCAAAGAACTAAATCAACAAATAATAATAAAGTTGTATTGTTTTTTTTTTTTGTGTATTCTGTTTTACGTACTGACCATTGTGTTTCTGTACAAGTACAGTTAAATGACCAAAAAAAGATTTAAAGTTCTACAAACAAATATTTACACATAAATTTCATTATTAATCGCCTGACTGCTTCAAATCGCTTTGTGCCACTTACCGGTGCTCATTTTGTTTGCATTCAATCAGCGTTTTCCAAAAATAAAGAGTAGGAAAGTTTTAGCAGCAGCATTTGTTACTTTAATGTACTATCAGTCATCATATTAAATAGCCATATCACGTTAAACTGCTCTCTGTTCCGTGAGTTTTATATTTTAGGTTCGAAAGTCGTTAGCGCCATGCTTAGCGCTACTGAAGAGAAAGGCCCCCTTTAGGTAGCTCGCGTAAAGCCTGACTGAAAATGGAAAAAATAATCACCGCATAACCACATGATCATACAGGGTTAAGCTTTGATTCTAACTTGGTTTGGGGCTGATAATAATAAAAAAAAGAAGGGTTAGCCTGACAGTTTAACGGCTGTGTTAAATACGTAAGCGATGAACTAACTGCGGTTTTGTTCCGATGATTCACTCCTCCTTACTTCCGCAGGCGTAATTTCCCCAACCACGTTTAAGGACGCTTTTACGTATCGTGTTACGTAAAAAATAAAACAGAAGCGCGTGGTTTATTTTGTTTGCAGAAGCGTTTGCGATTTCCGACATACTTAACCCAGTAAAACATTTACAGATAAGTTGTCAAACCCAGCACTGCACCAAAACCCTCATTAAATAATAAACCGTCTCTGCTGAGGCCTTCCTGTTTGACCCCCTCACGCAGTTTTTTTTATAATTTAATTTCACTGGAGTCTATGCCGCTATATGCTGACTGTATGTCAAATTTTCCATGTCTCATTTGGAGATTATTTTTGTGTTATCATTTGTTAATACGCAAATTTTCTGAGAATGCTGAGGTTCCTTTAATAAAATAGACAAATCCATAGCAAAGCAGCGTCTATCATTAGAAAAGTGTATTTTATTAATAAGGTTATGAGGGTAGCGTTAGACTTGACACAAATGAATTTCAAAGAAGTGATGTGAAAAAAATACAAAATAAAAATCTACATCAAAAGGAAATGAAATCATTGGAAAAGAAGTGATTTGAAAAACAACCAGCATAGGAAAAAAAAAGCAATTTCTACAACCATTTACAAACAAGAAGAATAACCTGAATAATATTTACATGACAAATACAGATTACAGTATTTACAAAGCTAGGACAGGAAGCAACGGGAAGCTCTTAAGAGCATCAATAGTGGATGAAACAAACTGCAGACTTGTCGATGTGCACAGTATTGAGAACGCATAGTACGATTAAGATTAAAAAATATAAAATTAACAGTGCTTTGAAATATTCCTCTAACAAATAAAATAAAATAAATCACTGATGGATGTATTCAACTCTGGTAGCTTTTAATTTTTGGTCACATTTCTTCTACAAAAAATCACAAACTTTYGAGAGGAGTCCAAAAACTGCAGTGTCTTGTGTGCATAAACGAAAAAAAAAAAAGAAAAGAAGAAACGTTTCATGGTTTCTCAAAGAAGCCTGGAGTCAGTGCCAAAACAGAAACTGTCACCGTTTGCAAATGAGCAAAGTAACGTTGGTTAGTTTATTCGAACAGTAAAAAGTAAAATCCCTGGAGAAAGGCTAACGCACATTCATGATTAAGGCAGAAGGGAGGATTGCCTTGCGAAGGTCCTTTTACTAATCAAGAGACAAGAGGGGGAATCAGGGTTGGGAAGGTGCACCACCCAGCTAACGACGCGGAGGCCCCACTACAGCCAAACGTCCAAAATTATTCAGAAATGACATCGTCAATAACACCGGTTCTGATTCAACCCTGAGGAAAACAGTGGACTGCATGTTCACTTAGTGGCTTTATTTTTTTTTTACCATAATTATCAACCACATGTCAGAATAGATGAATTTTAATCATCTTAATAAAAGAAGTTAATATCTAATATCGACTTTCATTGTAAAGGCAGTGATTAGGTCATAAAAACACACAGAAATGTTTCAGTCTTGTGGTTGCGCCCTCTTCGAACAGTTTTCTACAAACAAGGTGCCAGTGCTGGAGCCAGTCGATGGGTTTTCATGATCAACAGTCCTTCAGGTGGTTCTGGTTCTGGTTTTTAYACCTGTGCCGGCACCTAAAACCTACTGTTCTGGAATGGAGAAAAAATGATGCAGCTAGTGGTATAAAAAAAAAAAACGGCAGTGCAGCGTGTTGAGAAAATACGGCTTCTATATGATAAAAAATGAAATAAAAAAATCTCTTACAGAGTAACGTGGTAGATGTGGAGAGTGCAACAGGAATAATGGAGAAAATTTCTGTGAACCTGAAGTCAGTGCTTGGAAATGAACTGAATGATCGACTCTAAAAGGATCAAAATCCAGATGAAGCATCCATCTTTGTCATAAAAACATTAGACTCTGGCTGTTTTCTGTTTGTTGCTTCATAGGTTTGAATGAAGACCATTTACCTGGTGTATCAAACAGTTTTCTGACTTCCACTAGTGCCAGCACTGACACCCTGTGAGCTGAAAGGCCCCAGCAGATCATTTACCGAGGCGTGACTTAGGACAAGACCAAGCAGCAGGGGGTCAGYTGTTTTCCAAAAAATGAACAAACCAGTTTTGGTTTTTAGTTTAAAACCACAGTCTGCCCAAAAGACTTGTTCCCCAATCAGATCCTGAACTAACAAGAGGGCCAACTCTTCGAAAAGGAGATTGAAAACGATTATTAAAACGTCTGAAGAAGAATGGTGATTCTTCAGAGGCTGGTCTCTCCCAAGTCTTCGTCAGGAGCGAGGAGTGGTCTGTCTCTCCCGTTCAGGTTCCTCTACTCTCACGGGTCAGCGAGGGGTCATTGAAGCATGAGCTGCTTGAGGTTGTCGTGCAGGATGGTGTCCTTGACGTCCCGGAACACCAGCCTGATGTTCTCCGTGTTGATGGCCGTGGTGAAGTGGTGGTAGAGGGCCTTCAGCGTGGTGTCGCGCCTCTTGGCCCGGAAGCAGTCCACCATGAAAGCCTGGACCTCCGTCAGGCTGTGCTCCTGTCCGGTGTACTCGGGAAAATAGTCTTTGAGCGGAACGATCTTCACCTTCTCCTCCAGCAGGTCTGTCTTGTTCAGGAAGAGGATGATGGAKACGTTGACGAAGACGCGGTTGTTGACGATGGTCTCGAAGATGTTGAGCGACTCACGAAGCCGGTTGGTCTGCCTGTCCTCCATCAGCACCTGGAACAAAGGATGGATGGTCAAAGTTCTGGTTAAAAGTGAATCTGRGATCTTTTGTTTTGCCCTCATCTCCATCTGAGTGTGTTTGTCTGTTCCCAAAGTATTTCATGAACRACTAAATGGATTGTATTTAACCCTGCAGAAAGTAAATCAATGGGCCTCATGCAAGAACCGTTCGTACGCACAGATTTGTTCTTAAGTTGTGCGTACGAGTGATTTAGGAGAATTTGTGGCATTCACC